TATTGTTTTCGAAATATTTTCTCCGTTTAAGATCTATACATTTTTCAATACGCTCAAACCAATTCTTAAACATTTTTTCCACTGTGAAGCTGATATCGTAGACATGGCTCTAAGTCTCAACAGCTTCTTTGAGGTGATAAAACTGCCGTTCAAGTGCATCTTTTGGCAAATGGAGAACAAGCAGTGCTACCGGGTGATAAATCGAGTGAAGACGGACAATGGGAGACATTAATTCGATGATTTTCTCCCTCAAATATTCAGTTGTTTGGCGTGCTTTATAGGAGCCGGCATCGTCGTGATGAAGAATAATGCGACGTTTTTTTTTCTTATTTCATCGAAGACAGTTCGGAAACAAATTGTTGTTGTACAGGGGTGGCGCCTCTCGCCACGCCACGGAAGCTCCAAGGAGAACGGTAGTTTATATCGAAATGAGAATTTGGCGGAATAATGTGGGATTCACTGAAAGCATTTTATAAAATATATAGAATTATACAGGGTGTCTCCAAAAAAGTTACACATCAAGTTGTGTTTTTTCTAATGGAACATTCTATATATTAATTGATTTTCGGATTCTAGGAAAAAGATAAAGGTGAGTTTTATTGAAGAAGCATATACCTAAAATCTAAGGATTTTGACATATTTCACATTTTGTGAAAATAAAGAGTAAATTTTAAATTTAGATAACAGCTACCTACCTAAATTTTAGTTGACCTTGTATAGCCTATTTAATTACAGTAAACATTGTATGTTAGACCAAATTGAAATTTGACCCGAAAAGTTATACAGGGTGAGACAAAATTAATATGGAACATTGGACACTTTTAAAAGCAAGTTACTTCTTTATTTTAAATAGAACACCCAGTATATTTTTCCGGTGTTCAATGGGGAATTTATATATCTTTAAAATATTATTAAGGTTGCCTACCCCTCAGACAAAGATTTTCCCCGATATTTTAATTTTTATGATTTTGCGTCAGTAAATCTTTAATATTTGAAAAAATCTAGGTGGCTGTGTGATAAGTTTTGTTAATTTAACAAGAATTAAAGATTGTAGAGTAAAATACATAAGGATAATAAAAAGATACGCGTTTAAAACATATTTTAGTTATTACAGAATTGAAACCAGATATAAACCTATAAGTATGCGACAAAAATTAGCTAGATGAAATCAAATGCTCGAAATGCTTCCCTTCCTGTTTACTGCATAAAATGATTGTCTTTTCAAAAGGATCTTTTCATTTTAAAAGGCATATGTGGAGTTCTACCTCGAAAATCAGCTACAATAATTTCTCTCATGTTGTCTACACTAGTTGGTCGAGTTTTGTAAACACTGTCTTTAACATATCCCCATAAAAAACCAGACTAGATAAAATCAAAAGCATTTAAGTATTCTCTTAATTGGTGAATGCACACTGCATTCACCAACTAAGAGAATCATATCAGTTCTCTCTGATGTAAAATAAGTTTGCAATTTCAGCAAATTTCTGAGAAATTTTTTTTGTTTTAACTGACCAAAAATGATAACTAGTTGTTAAAGTTGGACTAATTAGACAGCTATATTGAAGTAACGTCAGACATATCACAGCCACCTAGATTTTATCAAATAATAAAGATCTACTCAGATCAAATAATGTAAATAAAAATATCTAGGAAAATCTTTGTTTGAGGGGTAGACAACATTAATAGTATTTTGAAGAGACATGAATTCTCCATTGAATATCGGAATAATATACTGGGTGTTCCATTTAAAATAAGAGAGTAACATGCTTTTAAATGTGACCAATGTTCAATATTAATTTTGTCTCACCCTGTATAACTTTTTGGATCAAGTTTTAATTTGATTTAAAGTACTATAGTTAATTTAACTACATATTAAGCTATACCGGGTAAATTCTAATTTAGGTAGCTTTTATTGTAATTTAAAAATTGTTCTTTATTTCTAGAAAATGTTAAATATGTCAAAAACCTTATATTTTAGTCATATACTTCTCTTATAAAACTCACCTTTATTTTTTGCCCAGAATCCAAAAATCAATTAATATATAGGGTGTTCCATTAGAAAAAACACAACTTTGATATGTAACTTTTTTTGGGGACACCCTGTAGAACTCTCTATATTTTAAAAAGTGCTCTGAATTAACCTACATATGCTTACAAAATTTCATTTCAGTACAAACTGTCGTTCTCCTTGGAGCCTCCGGGGCGTATGAGAGGCACCACCCTGTATACCATTTGGCATTAACAGTTCTTCGATCCTCTGATGGAATGGTTTCGACGTGTCCAGTACAACCGAAGAAACAAACGATTGCAAAAACTTAAAAGGCAACCTACGTAAAATATAATAGACCATAGGTACTTCTATTTCTTTCAGACAAAGTAAACAGAATAAGTGTAAGAAATAAAAGCGTCACTAGATTGTTTGATTAAGTTTTTCATCCCCAGAACGCCAAACCACATAGGATAATACTTGAACAATCAATTTTGTTATTTGTAATCATGTATGACACCATTTATAGAGTTTATACAAATGACGAATACCTGTGACAGCTGACAGCAACAGTCTCAAGACAAACATCGAAATTAAAACGTCAAAAATGGTTCTAACCAGATAGGAGACAATTTGATTGGATATCTTCAAAATAGACAAAAGAACTGCCACAACACCTTCAAAATATCAAACACAATTCTTTTAATACAATACTATGCAAAAAAAGGAACCTCAGATATCAAGGATATAGCAAAGAATTACACATGTAAAAAAAACATAAAAAAAAATCAGGAAAATAGCCAAACATTATAAAGTACTAAACTTTAGAACGACTTACCAAAAGAAGACCGGAAACCACGAAACAAGATCTTTATGTAAATGCGGTGACTCCTATATTAGAAAGACAAACCCTCCTCTAAATGTACGACTTAAAGAACTTAAAAATTACAAAGAGACAAAAGAATGAATAAGCAGCATAATATGAAATAGTCCGGAGCCATTTTTATATCAAGCAACAATAACAACTCTAACGATCCAACTATGAAAATACCTACAATATGAAAACTACTTATCAAAAATAACGCGTCCTAAAAAAAACAAAAAACTAAAACGTTTTTCTTAAAACTAATATGGAAATATTTACGATATGGCACCACTTATAAACGAAGACACCAAAGCAGGCATACTCAATGGACCAACTCATGCTTGGCTGCACCCAACTTTTTCACGGATGAATACCTTGCTCTAGTATACAGGGTGTCCCAGGCTGAGCGTACATTAGAAGTTTCTAAAGAACTACAAGATCTAGATTTTTCGCACATCACTGTTCCACAATGAGATCTATCAATTAAAAATATTTTCAATATGGCGGCACTTCCGGAAGTACCGTAAGATGAAAGCTACTTTCTTATTTTATATGGCTACCCCCATTTTTTATTACATAGTATTTAAATTCTCTGTAAAATTTTATGAATTTTGATATCAAACACTCTATACTTAACATTAACCGTTTTTGAGAAAAAAAATATTTAAAATTTTTGTAGGAAATAAACTGAGTTTTTCACCAAGACAATTCAAGTTGCCACACAGCCTGAAATACGATTGAGTTTTTAGTGCAAGAAAACATCAAATTGTTGGACCATCCCCCATACAGTCCTGACCTAAGTCCTAACCACATAACGCAATTTTGAAGTTACCAACAAGCGAGTGGAACAGCTTTCAAAATTAGTTTCAACGGATGCAAAAATTCATTCTCTTCGTGAAGGATACTTCGACAAACAATAGTGTTTAAAAGCTATCTACTATTTTTTTTTACCTCTATATGAATGAAAAATGGGAAAGACCAAACCAACTCTCGTATGAAGATTACATGTTGCAAAATTAAAGAGACCTATGGACGTTAGACTCAAAGAACATCAAATCTGAGAGAGAATACAAAAACAGGTATATCCGAGCACATGTGATACAAAAAATAGAATTATTAGTATACTGACTATTAAGAAAAATATTCTATCATGAAAACCAAAAAAAATTAAAAAGAAGCTACACAAGAGGAATAAGTATTTAAATAACTTATAAGGTCAGTGGCCCAATAAACGTCATATTAAAATTTGACCCGCCGGCGCCGTAGTTTCTTAAATATCTTTCAGAAGGATTTCAATTTTGGTAATTATTTTCTGTAGGTATATTAGAAGACAAAGTTAGTTAAATTACGGTTTTATTTTCTTTGGGAATTTAAATTAGTGAAAAAAATATGTATTCGGTTGCAATTGGCGCCATTAAAAACGCCTTGTCCCAAATAACGCCAGTTGTCATTTCGATGAAGAAAACACACCAGAACTTGCAGAAGCTGCAAAAAGAGCAGAAGCCAGTTTACTTCCAGAGAAAAGTAGGGGCGATATGAAATAGCATTGAAAGTATACGAAAAATGGTGTGCCGAAAAAAATGCTAAAATATTGCTTCGGAGACAATCTTGATGGCATATTTTAGAGACATGGCGAGGCAGAAAAAGCCATCTACTCTTTGGGCACAGAATATCTAGTTACGCAACAGAAGCCTCGTTATACGTATAAAATCGTAGGTATCAAAATTCTGCATAAGTCTATTTCGCCCGGATATTCATTTAACTGAGCATGCCTCACCTGAAGAAGTTTTCATTGGTCGATGTTTTTAAAGGGAAGTGGTTGACTGACATTTCCCCTAACCTTCAATTTTATTTATATTTTTATTATTTATAACACATTATCATGGAGTTGGAAAAATATCAAAAAATAGTAAACAATAAACTAAACAAAATCACTCTTTTACGCGCACAAATAAAAAGTAATCCAAACAGAACTAAAACAACCAAACAATCAATCGGAGTTTGGCGCAACCGCAGTTCAATCCATATCCGGGTGAAATAGACTTATGCAGTTTTAATATGGAGCTGGGTTATGTTGTCTTTTTCTTACGGCACAGAAATTGCACACGGGGTTAAATAGGGAACCCAGGAGGCGTATTCCGTAACGATAGAGAGATAGAGATAGAGAAGGGATAGACATAGAAAAGACATGTCTAAAACGAATTCTATAAGCATATTTCCAAGTTCATTCGGATGAACTCGGTAAAGAGATATCAACAACTATTCGATCTAAAAACATCGCGCTTTTCGGTGTTTTTTTGTTGAAAGCCCTGGCGCACAGCTGTTTAATGTCATAATAAATGGACTTGGTATTTTTTCTTGTTTTGTTTACTTTTATTATTCTTCCTTCATTCGTGTGTTGATTCGTGACCACGAGTGGAGTGGCTAGAAAAAACGTTTTTGGCTAGAAAACACAAGTTTAGTGATTTATTGAACTAAATTTTTCTCGTCTTTGTGTAGTGTTGACTATTAGCAGAGCCTATACTAACTAAAAAATAAGTGTTCATGGATCCTATATTTAGATATTTTGTGGACGAGGCAGAGGAAGAAGAGCGGCAGGCACAGTTGAGACTTCAAAGGATAGTCTTGAGGGATGAATCCAATCCTTTTGACATGGCGGAAACAGAGTTTCGAAAATGTTTCCGGCTTAGCAGGAATCTTGCCCGGCAGCTAATTATAGACCTTACTCCACACATGGCTGTTGGGATTAGAGCAAGAAAAATTCCCACTGAAATTAGAATTTTGGGTGCTTTAAGGTTCTTCGCACAAGGCTCCTATCAAAAGACCATCGGAGATGATTTTAGTACCTGTATGGCCCAGCCCACATTTAGTCGGGCATTAAGTGAAGTATGTTCAGCTTTGGAGGCCATTGCCCCTCAGTGGATTAAATTTCCTATATCTGAAGCTGAAAAACAGGCAAAGAAGGAAGAATTTATGGCACAGTTTCAATTTCCAGGGGTGATAGGGTGTATTGATGGTACCCATGTAGCCATTGTATCTCCCAAAATTGATGAACATTTGTATTTTAATCGGAAGAGATATCACTCAAAAAATGTGCAGATCATATGTGACGCAAATTTGATAATCCTAAACGTTAAGGCCAATTATGGAGGTGCGACACATGACTCATTTATATGGCGAAATTCCAATGTAAGAACACATATGGAGCAATACTACCAGCGTAACCACAACGGTTGGCTGCTTGGTGACAGTGGCTATCCTCAAGAGCCATGGTTGATGACTCCAATAAGAGATATGCCTAGAGAAAGTCCTGAAGGCAGATACACAGCAGCGTTAGCAAGAACCAGGAACTGTGTGGAAAGATGTATAGGTAGGTAAAATGTATTTGATTTGGCCATATTAATAACTTACAATTGAATTTAGGGGTATTGAAAAACCGATTTCGCTGCCTACTGAAGGCAAGAGTTCTACATTATGAACCTTTCAAAGCAGGGCAAATAGTTAATGCTGTATGTGTGCTACACAATATGTGTATAATGGCCAATCTAGATCTAGAGGATGAGGATGCCATGGCTGGTGAAGATGTGGATGACCCTGTTAACGAAGAGTTGTTTCCGAGAAATATAGTAGCAGAGGGACAACAAAGAAGAAATCATTTAATTCAGATGTATTTTCAAAATCATTAAAAGAAGTTAAATCAAAACCGTGTCGGCTTTTATTTTTTTAAATAAAAAATTCCAAAGTGTTTGATGTAATTTATTCTTACATAATAACATAACATAAAAATATACCCTGTATCTACAGGGCGTCCGGTAAGTAAACGATAATACTGAAAGGGGTGATTCTTGGGCATATTTTAGGGCTAAATTGTCATATAAACATTGGTCCGCAAATGCTTAGTTTTCAAGCTACAGGTGGTGTAAATCACTGGTGAAAATAAAAAAAATAATGTGATTTGATGGTAAAACAACGTGTACCAAATTTCATTAAATTATCTTCAGTGGTATGAAAAATATGATAATTTTTTTTTTCATAAAACTTTAACATCCAGTAGCTTGAAAACTCAGCATTTGCCAACCCATGTTTATATGACACTTTAGCCCTAAAATATGCACAAGAATCACTCCTTTCAGTATTATCGTTTACTTACCGGACACCTTGTATAAATCATAACAAAAATAGGAACATTCTTTTCTAATATAAGTCTTTTTTTAATACTCTTTTTAGTTTTTTTTATTATGGTACTGAAACATTAGGAACAATAGTTTCCAGCACATTGGCAACTCTTTCTAATGCACTGGCAAAGCGCTCGGTATTTGCCTCAATCCGTTTCAGTGTCTCTGAGAGTTCTTTATAATGTTGCGCACTCTGTTCCTGTGTCTCTGTGTGCATCCTATTGAGAGACACAAACCTCCTTGTTCTTTCTGTCGAATGCCGTATTCTTTTAGGAGCAGGAGCAGCAGTCCTATTCTCTGCTGCTCGTATTGATGATGATGAAGCTCTGACAGGGGTAATAGGTGTCAAGGGGGGTATTGACATTGAGCTTTCTGTGGCTGGCGGTGTTTGCGGTTGTGGCTGTAGAAACAAAAGGTTTTTCAGAAAGTAAAAAAATAGTATTTGAAAATACTTTGTTTGAAAAATACCCATGTGTTTGAAAATAGTGTTTTTTTTTAGAACATAAAATACTAACCATTCCCAACTCAACATTCTTGTCCCCAGTCGCAGCTCTCCAGCCTAATAAGGCCATTAGCCGCTCTTCCGTATCATTTAAAGGAATGGCTTTTGAGGGACCACCCCCAGTCTTCTCTCCCTCGATTCTTAGTTGGGCAGCTTTGCTTTTAACTTTTGACTTCCATCGAGTTACAGCCTAGGAGAATTATCACAACTTCTATACTTATTACTTACTTAGTATTTAATCATTATATTATAATTATTTATAATATTATAATTTATTATTGATAATAACTTAAGTAACATACCGCTTTCCACTTCTCAACGGTTCTTACACCAAAACCCATCGCATTTAATTTAGTGGCTAGCTGATTCCACAGCTGATTATTGGCATTGGCATCGCCATCAGAGTGCCCAAATTTGGGCCTTATTAATGAAGGGTTTTCTTCCATATAATCAATAATTACTCTCCACTGCATTGGATGGGTTTTAAAATCACGCTCTGAAATTGTTTAAACTTATCACTAAGTATCTACATGGTACCTATTAAGACCCTATTTGTCCGCTTGCCCTTTTATAAATATAGGATATTTGTAATTTGTAAATAACTTACCCATAATTAATTTAACTCCAAACTCGAACAAAAAAGAAATCGAAGAGTAAACAAACTTAAGTCGTAAATACCGTGAATCATAAAAACAAAAACACGGCACCTAACCTATAAAAAACAATTATTTTAAAAATAGAAGAATAGAAGCTTTGATGGTGCATTAGAAAAGGATAGAAACAATGTCTCCATCAAAGCAAGACCTAAATCGGTCTATCTATTTCTCTATGCCGAACGACCACCGAACGGGACACGAGAGCGGCCGAAGTGGCATACAGAATAGCATTTTGTGATAATAGAAAGAAATTTCTTTTATAGAGAGAAATCTCCATGTCTATGGCGTTAAAGAATACGCCTCCTGAGTATATTTGTAAAAAGTAATACGTATATGGAGCGAGGCCCCAACTTCGTGGGACCTCGCTATTTTGCCCGGAATTGAACGAATAGACGCGCGGCGTTGCCTTGTTTTGTGTGTACTTTCTTGAGTAGTTTTAAATTATAGTTTTAGTCTTTCCGCTCTCCGCACTCCGCAGTTTTCATATAATATTATCATATAATAATACCTGGTACTGGTATAGGTAGCGAGTGGAAGACCTTGGGTATCTACCCAAATTTTAATAAACCGGGTGTTTGCCCATCACTGATTGCGCGTGTGCAGTAAATATACCGGGTGATGCATCGTGCATCGTCGTTGGAAACATAGGAAATCTCATGCAAATTTTAAACTGTCCAAATATTGACTCCCCTGTATATTTTATAACGAAGTCGTAATTAGGTTTTTTAAAGGTCTGCGTATGTTGAATACACCTGCCACATTTGAAGACCTTTGGACAAGCCTATTTTAACTAATTTAAGAAAAACTGGATCTAGTTTTAAATTAAACCTGAACAGGTAACATATAATATTTATATCTACTAAGGGGCACCCATTAAATTCTTTTGCATTTATTTTGAAACACTCTGTATACATTAATTAGTTTATTCTTTTATCACTGATACATTGGTGACAAAACCAGCTCATACATACCGACTTTTTTAACTATGACAAAACAAATATAGAACATATATTGACTTTCTGTATCATTTTAACTATTAACTCCATAAAAAATCTAAAAAGCATGTCAAAATATATACTTAATTAGCAGAAATATACGTTTCAAGTCCTCAAAAAACTCTTGGGCTCTCCCATTAATATTATTCTGCTCGTTACATAACGACATTTTGAAGTGACATTTAAAATATCGTTCGACTTTTATCGATCTTAATTGTTTCTAGTCGACATAACAGGACTAGTTAGATATACATTTACAGTCGTTTTGTCTTGGTTTAAACAAGGTACGATCGACGGTAGATATGTTTAAAATATATCTCTTATTTTACAAAATATCGATATGTTTTTTACTATAAACTAAAGATGGGTATCGTAGAGAACTATAGTAAAGAAACAACAACAAAATTATCCCGGGCAAAACTATCAGGAAATATGACTATACGTAGACGCTCACTGTTTCTGCAAATGGTTTCTGCCTTCTGGTTTCAATATGGAGGGGAAATCAGCAACGTTGAACTGCCTCGTTTGCTTCCATTTTCTATTTTTTATGATCCTAGTTCATCGTCTGTGACAGGACAAAGTTTGGACAAAGTTTTTATCTGCAGACCAAGTCCGGTGGGCTGTTGCCACATCCTGGATTTGGCTTTTAGCCTATCAGAACATTTAAATAATTTTATATCGATTGCTTTTTCCATATGATTTTGCAAATAAACATCCTTAGTTAACAGTTCCAGTTCTCAGCGAGGGAGTCGTTTAATGAAATCAGTTTAGGAATTCGTTTTTTAGTGAAAAAATGGTTCGTTATTCTGAACTAAATATTGTAATCGAAACAGATTTTACGTTTCAAATCAAAATGTTTGATCGTAGGTACCTTAAAAAGTCATAAGCGTTTCAGAAAATTAAGTAAGTACCAGTGGCGTGTCGTATAGGGGGCCAGGGGGAGAAAAACTAAATTTAACGCAAAAACAAACGGTGCCCTACCGTGCCCTTAGCTCTTCAAGATAACAAAATAACGTAGGGGAGAGTGGGGCAAATCGGAATGAAATTGATTTTTTTCTTAATAAGTCCTGATTTATTAAATATTTTCCAAATAATTTTAGTATCAGAGTAAAGTTCAAACATTTCTAAAAAATGATACCAATTCAAAACTCCAAAAATTAAAAAAATACTGCTACACATATTTTTTAAAAACATTGTTTTTATTCCGTTTTACCCAAACGGGCAAAAGAGGAATGGGAGGTAAATTGGAATATGTGTTTGTTATTAATAATATCAGCTAGTCAGTTTAAAATATTATTCTACATACAAATATCGCAAATGTAAGGCTTCCCATCTCTTTTCATAAGATGTGCACCCTTCATGGGACCATTCTTTACAGATGTAACAGCAAATCCAAACTTCGCGATGTTTTGAGTCATAATAAAAGCTGCCACACATGTTACACTGGGAACAATTGTCGGTCTTTTCAGTTTTATCCAAACCATCCTTACACATTTGACTTTTCTTTTTCTTTTTTTACCAAGATGGGGTATTTTCTTTTTTGCCGCCATACGTTGTTTCTCTTTGCGACTACTTTAACAGGATGCTTTATTTTTCTCTTTTAGTTCAAGATAATATGGACTGCTAGTGATCACGGCAGTTTTCCCTCTAGTGCGCCGAGGTTTTTGTTCAGTAATATTTTGACTGCATTGTGGAACGGGTATTATTTCCTGTGGACTGCAAAAACTACCAGACTCCTTATGGGATGTAATAATCTCTTTCACTGGACTTTCAGGAACTTCAAATCCAACGTCATTCTCGGGTGTTTCTTCTCCTATTTCAGAACTAACATATTCTGTGCATAACATGTTTTTGCTGAAATCAGCGACGGGTTTTGGTACATCTTTACTGTAATCAGCTATTGGTCCTGCAAACATATCCTTACTGCAACCAGCGATCGGTTCTGCAGTTATATTTTTGCTGCAGCTTCAGTTCTGTTTTTCAGAAGTAACGGACTTGGTGGCAATTAAATTTTTGAGTGCCATCAACGGAACATCGTCTTCGTCAGATGAGGAATTAATATCAATATGTTCCTTTATAGATCTGAAATAAAAAAAAGTGAAGATATATAAAGTGAGAGAAAAAAATAAGGTATAATTTTAAGTTTGAGTTATAAATTAGGTAGGTGAATAAAACCTACTCATTAGGGTAAGATGCATTTGTATTATTTACTGTTGTATTAGCTTTTTCAGTGTTTGCTGGAGGATTCGTTGGCTCAGGTCTGAAAGATATTCAAATTTGTATTAAAATAATGTTTTATAGACATTATTCTGTGATTTAAGTTACCTGTTAGTAGTTTCACTAGCTACAAATGCCTCTTCAGGGAATATGCTGGGATTAAATGGCCATATCCCAGTGTTCTCAAAACCACTTACGGCATTCTTAAGTATTGCCGCCCTCATGTATGCTTTTCCGAATAATAGCCCAATTTGGCTGATGCTTATTTGTCTGCCTGGATGATTTCTGAGCCATAGCTCACACTCTTGGGAGTAAAAGGTACTCAGGGGGAACATAAAAGATACGTCCAAGGGTTGGAGTCGATGAGACGTATGGGGGGGGGAATACATAAGATGTCCACATGATTTTTTCGAGCTGTTTCAATCAAACGAATATTTTTTGTATGGCTTGCATGCCCATCTAGAATAAGTAGAGCTCGATTCGTTGCTGTAGGCTGAACGTGCTTAAGAAAATGTTGGGACAAAATATATCCGAATTCATCCAGCCTGAAGAACGACACACAAGGTGGGTGTCGGGTGGGGTTCCCTCTAATAGATCCGAGTTTTCTCGAGCTCTGGGAAATATTAAGAGAGGAGGTATGTATCGTCCAGCGGCATTACAGCAAATGACTGAGGTAGTCGTTGTTCCTCTTTCAGCTGAGGAAAGAGTGCCTACTTGCTTCTTTCCTTTTGAGGCAATAATCTTTGATGGCTTATTTGGAACTGTAGATATACCTGTTTCATCTACATTATATATCTGACTTATTACTTTTTATTGCAGTATAATTATGTTTTTTAAATAAGTCATCTAATATCTTAAAAAATTTACGGACAGACACTGCATTAAATCCAGTAGCCCTTGCTAACGAAGTTTTCTCCGGTTGACGAAGCGCAAGCTCTGGGTGCCTTTGCAAGAAAGATAGCACCCAATCTTTCCCAGCCAGTCCTTTGTCATCATTAAAACAGTGAGTAATATTATTACGAGAGGCAAACTCGTATGCCAAAAATCTCAGATCTTTGATCCTTAATCCAAAATATCTACTTTCCATAAATAGGCAGTGGCTTACGAGTTCTTGCTCCTGCTCGGAAGTAAAACATCTTCAATCTGCCCAATCTCTTGGTAGAAGCCTCTTGACTGTCACGCAAGCTTTTTTGGCTCGCCGAAATAATGTTGTTGTGGTACGTTGTAGACAGCTGCCGCTGACTCATAACTTAACCGGTTTGTTCTTACTGCCGTAACTGCATCTGTCATATCCTCTTCGTCCCATGATTGATATTTTGATTTTTTAACATAGTTTCTCACCATCTATAAAAAAATTGAAAACAGCATAGCATTTTACAGTGGGGCAAATTGGAATGCAATACATTTTTACCTTATATTATTATATTTTACTTTTAAAAAATATTTTTTACAAATAAATCATTTTTAATATAATAAAAATATGATTTTATAGTCAAAAAATCACACCGCTTGAAAAAATGCTAAAATTTTTGGTGGGGCAAAGTGGAATGGCACTAATTCCACTTTGCCCCATTCGACAATTTAGTAAAAAAACATTTATTTAAGAAAAAACTGCTTGCTTTTAAGAATCTTTTTTTCCCTGTAGTTAAACATAATGTCTTACCTTGACGAATAACCAAAAGTTGCACACAAAGCATCACAGAGCACGTGGCTATCACAAAATATATTCTGCGTAAATTAAACGATTAACGGGCGCTTTCATAAATGTCGCGATGCAGACTGATCGCCTGTTCCGACCACATTCTCGGTTTGAGTGGGAGTGAAGCGTCATATGACCTTCACGTTTCGGGCGGTTAATAATTTTTGCTGCTTGGCGGTATATCTAATTCCAATTTGCCCCGCATTCCACTTTGCCCCACTCTCCCCTATATAGTATATATTCAAAGATATTTAAACTCGGTTTGGTTTAAATATCTTTGTATATATTTCTCACATTTTATTTTTGTTTTTTAATGTTTACTTATATTTAATAATTTAAATCTCTAATGAAGGCGTATACGTACGAAAGTTTTCATATGGGTTTGAAACTACGCTACCGCTAGACCATTGTCTCTAAATAAAAATACAATGGCTAGACATAACGTTGCGCCGGCGCCGCCAAAGAAGAAGACGAAAGCAGTCGCGATGGAAATAAATTCGGGGAATCTCCGACTGAAATATAATCGATTATAATGAAGTGCTGAATAAAATTAATATATTGTTCAATCACTTGCAAAAGATTAATATCATCTTATGTACAGCTGCTCATATGATTACTGCGGTAACTAAAGATCTCAAATCATTAAGAAGTGAAAAATATTTTGAAAATTTTAAAAAACAGGCTACTATTTTGGCAAATAAATGCAATACATCAACATCATTTTCCACAAAAAGACAAAGAAGAATAAAAAAAATTCATGATGAAATCCAGAATGATTACCTACATCAAAATTCTGAAGATAATTTCAAGATATCAGTGTTTTATGGTAGTTTAGACATTTTAACTGGTACTCTAGAGAATCGGTTTGAAGACATCCTTAATATATGTCAAACATTTAATTGTTTAATGGATATGGACGTCAATGATGACAATTTAAAATGTCTTATGGATTTACAAATATTGTACCAAGCGGATATTAAACCTTCTTGCCAGAATATAAACATTTTTTAGTTAGAAGAAATTAATGCTGATGACAACAAACTTGCACCTGACGAATATTTATCATTTTTAATTTCCAATGACCTAGAGTCTTCATATCCATCTTTATGTGCATTACTGAGGATTTTTTACACTATAGCCACCAACAGTGCTGGTGCAAAACGATTTTTCAGTAGATTAGGAAGAATCACAGAGGTGCACCAGCACACAAGATAGAACCAATTATTTATCACTTCTCAGTATTGAAGCAGACACAGCCCAGGATCTAAATATAGACGAAATAATTGATTCTTTTAAATCGGTTAAAACAAGACGCTTGTATATTTGAAATAACTATTTTGTATACTAACTTTTTTAATAAACAAATTTATATAATTAAAAAAAAACTTTTCATGTAATCTTATTATTTAAAAAAAAGTTGTAATTTATTTGATCCTTTATTGATCATTGCGCCCCTTAAGGTCATCGCCCTCTCCGCCCTTTTATCCACGACACGCTACTGGTAAGTACCTAGTTTATGACTATACTGAAAAAAATATTGTTCAGAATATTAATGAACATTGATTATTAACTATTGTTTCATTGGGACAATGATTTTTTTCATTATTGTAATGATTTGTTAATCAAAGATCAATACCTCATTTATTAATAGTATGAATCTAAATTCATCAACATAATGAAGATCCGGTTATTAAATTAAAGTAAGATTTTCATTAATATAAAGAACGCGTTCATAGTTCCAATGAATTCTTTATTTTAATGCTAAAACTTTAATGAACACATTCATTATATTAATGTTATATCTTATATCCCTTATAATAATGTACTAAACCATTGATTAGAGTTATCCATTATGAGAACGGACAATGTTATTAATTCAAGGAACACTACATTATATTAATGTACGCGGTTATTAATAATATCAGGAATAAGATGTTATTTAAGAATTGAAGATCAGGATCTGTCGCCATCTTGATCGGTAACTTTGGTGCTTTAATAACGGCTGTGTGGTTGTGTTGCACAGTGAGGCTTTAGTTTCATTAGAGCGGTAAGTGTTCCCTTCAATATTTTAAATATTTTAAATAAAAGTCCTATCGTATTGACGAAACATATTGCAATCTATCTAGAAAATGGTTAAATTTAGATATAAGTCTAGGAAAACAAGTAGTATATAGAGTATTCTATTTTGCAAATTATTGTACAGGGTGTCCCATTTTGGTTGAAATGATACGGTATCTCCGTTATTCGTGAAGATAGAAGGGTGCGGTTTGCACATACCTGTGCCACTTTTTTGTCAAATTGAAGATGCCGTAAACAAAATTTTCATTGCCCTCTTCGTTTCTGAGCTACCGATTAGAGGCGAGGGAGCCTATTCATTCATTTATTACCTTGTAGTACGCGTCGCACGTGTGCGGTAAAGCTTTGTTGCCGCTATGTCCCCACTGTATTAACGCATTTTCTTAGCTTGTAGTCCTTAAATGTTTATTTTATTGACTTTTTCTGTTCAAGAACTATAAAATATGGTTCGCCAGTGCCAAATTTGCAAGAAATTTGACTTAAATAATTCATTTAAGTCTTGAAACGACTTTCGACCGGTAGGCAACTCTCAATTTGCCCATTGGGAGTCAGTGGCATTGTTGTAGAAAGGCGCTTATTTAGATAATATTTTAGTAAAATGCAAAATCTGAATTTTTTCTCTTACATTACATTATTTACTTACTTACATTGTAACAAAATCATAATTATAACCCTGTTAATAATTAATAGTGTTTTTATTAAAAATATATTCGGTTTTATTCTAAAATTATCTTCAGAACTAAAAATAACATACAAGAATTTTAAAATGATATTACATTGTAAAACAATATTTTTAATATACCGGGTCGTCTCAAAAGTAGCTCACCCTATGACTTTTATTTTTCCAGATAAAAAACAGATTTGTATGCTAGAAGATATGACATAAATTAGGATTTATTGGCAAAGTTCGGTATATTGCTACTTTATTCGATAAAATGACCTCGAATAGAATGACATATCATATGTCAACTTTTGACATTGTCGCTTAAAACAAATCGTATTTTTAAATTTCAATCCAGTGCCATGAATTGTTAAAAACACTAAGTTTTAATCGAGCCTTGGAAAAATAGTTTTGATAGTCTAATGGGTTTCAAGGTAATGTTGTCTAGGCCGGTTAAAAGATGTACAAATCATTATTTTTAATCATACATGTCAATTTTTCAAATGGGTTTTGGGTGACTCATTGGCATATTTGGAAAAAGCATTTTTTTATGAATATATTGATACCACACACTTGGTATTTCGAGTCAAATTGTCGTTATGAACTGCGTGTTACAATTACAATTAAACCATATGCGAAAATGTCAAAAGTTGACATATGCTATGCCATTCTATTCAGAGTGTCATTTTCTATCGAATAAAGTAGAAATATACCGAGGGTGCCGTTTAAAAATTAAAAGTTATAGTCATTTCCGGTGAAACAGGAAGTGACCAAAAACAATTGAATGC